GATGCCAGAAGATACTTTATTATCAGAGACAATGAAGCTGAGAACCTCTGTAGAGAATCTCCCGAGTCTGTGTCTGCACACTCTTTTATACAGTTTTTCCTCAAGCCGTGTTCAACACATTACACACACACACAGTCCTTCTACCCCCATACACTGTACACATTTTACTCTCCTGCAGTCCTCCATACACACAGGAAACATAAGTTCATAATAGTAGAATAACTTGATTACACACATTACACTCTCCTGCAGGCCTCCTTACATACAGGAAACACACAATCATAATAGTAGATTACACTCATGTCTATATTCACATTGATTTTGATAAAAAAAAAAAATCTACAACTATTTTAATGAAGGTGATGTGTGAATTTTACTTTTTTTATTTTAGTGGCTGATGCGAGGAGATCCAGGCTCATAACAATTACAGAAGATAATATATATGATAACATATGATATAATACCAATAATATTTTGCTAAAATTGTAGCACTCTAAGAGATAACAAAGTCATCTAAATATCTGAGCATAATAATCCTCATAGAAAGAGACCTTTGCGGCATGTGCTGAGAGAGCAAGAAGAATGAAGGGAGCTCAGAAGCCAGTTATATATCAGGAGAACATGCATCTTCTTACAACATCACCAGATGTTTATGTCTGTTAAATGAATGTCAAGTGAACTTATCCATTGTGTCTAAATCGTGCCATACATTTCTCCACTGGGTCAGGGTCAGGACTAGGTCACGAAGGCACGACCCAAACAATAGGTAAAGTCAGATAAAAATAGCATTATGAGTTGTGGTTTTGACACCTTTCGAGCAGAAACAGCAATATCAAATATCACCTTCAAATATCACCTTGCAAATGCCAGCTTTTGGAAAGAATATCTAGTAGCATGACAGACAAATTCAGAAAACAATCAGAAAAGATTTCCAACATCTTACCAAAACATTCTTACATAATAAAACAACACCATTTCAACCATAACAAAACGTACCTTTTATATATCAAACCAAAAATTACTGTGTATGGAATATGAATAAAAAATTAAATGAATTTAAAATAAAATGAGGAATAAATGAGTTATAATGAATGTATAAGTAACATAAGACATTAATATGAATGATTAAGAGTAACAATAAAAATAAACATAAAGAATAGCTCATAATTAATAATAATAATAACAACAATATATAATAACAATAATAATGTATAAATTAATATGGAAAAATAAAAGTATAAGCACTGGAAATATAAAGAAAGTAAATGGTAACTCGTAATAAGTTCAGCGAGTTCGCCCCAGCTTGGGACGGCTCAGTAGGAGAGGAATCTAACAGCATTTAAAAAAAAAAAAAAAGTATAAAATGTATTAGAAATTAAAATTCACGAAACGATTTAAATTTATTTTTCATAACGCTTTGCATTGTACCGATTCACTGAAAATAATCGAATCACGTGAATGATTCCTAGTCGAATCGGACACAGACGTCAAATTAAGCAGGTAACTTTAACTACATTTGCGACTGTTTTACGCTTTGCTGTTTTATGGGGGTTAAAGTAAACATTTCTCAAGTAAAGCAAAACAGAGCTAAAAAGTCTAAGTATAAAAACAGCATATTTGGCCTACATCTACATCTAGCGGCGTGTTTTTGATGTTTGCAATTGAATCGCGAATACGACTAATCACGCGCAGATCTGTGCATCGTGTAAAATGCCCGTCAATGTGGTGATAAATAATGCAGATCCTGCAAGTCATAAACACATTAAAGAGCAATTGGCGGCAAAAGGGCGCCAGTACTGGTGTGAATTGCCCCTCGTTGTCACTTCAGATGGTTTAGTCATTGACCACCAGATCGCTAAAGAATGTAGTTCCCAACCCCCATTCACACATAGGACATGCCTGCAGGAAAAGTGAAACAAGCATGGACAGAATAACAAAGACACTGCCATTTGTAGCTTAAAAATGCATTTGAAAATTATATAAAATGAACATCACAAAACATATCAGAATGTATCAAATTCATTGCTGTTTTTTTTGTATTACTTTTAAACGGTCATTAAAGAAAATGCATTCATTGTCTGCTGCAAATGCATCAATATGGTGAATTTGAAATAGGGTAATTTCACTACACCATGTGAAATTAATGCAAATGCAAATTTGCCATGTACCTATTGTATTATAGGTACCTAGCCTATTATTTTAACCAGTATAGTTAAAACAGTTCCCGAGTGATATCATCCAGGAGCTTCTGCAGCAGCGTAAATAGTTTTAATTATTATTCATGCACAACATTTTAGAAACACTTTAAGCAAATCTAGGACATTGTGAGGTTAGTAAAGTTCACTTTTTACTCAATGTTTATGCACTCATATTGCAAGGAGACATTACACCTCCTTAATCTGATTGAATGTAGCCTATGCCACGATTAAAAACAAGCCAGAAGATTAAAGGGGTCATATGATGCTGCTAAAAAGAACATTATTTTGCCACATTTAAAAACAAGCCAGAAGATTAATGAAATAACTGTGGCGGGAATATTGGGGAGATTCCAAAAAGGAGGTGGAGCACCTGCATTGAGATCTATGGCCAAGAACTGTATAAAAGTTTGCCCTTAGGGCAAGTTATTTATTTTTCTTTGGCTCAAGTTAAAAAATATAGATGTGAATCATTACCCTAAATTTTTTTTAATTGGATGAATGAAACATTTTTTTTTAGTGTACAGAAAAAACTGAGTATAAGAAATGTATTGCATTCATGTCATGAGAACAAGAGCTGAGAGGAACTAACTCTCGTTTCATAATAAATCACAAGAGCTCCTCAGGAAATCAGAATTTAGCTCATTGGTGCATAGTGCCCAAGAGAAAGCAGTAAATTATACGCTAAACAGTTACAGCAGACGTGTAGGACATTGTTTAATTGTTTCAAGTGTATTACATTCTGTAGATCTTAAACTGAAAACCATACTATAATGCAGAGTGTTGCATTATAAAAACTTTAGTATGAGCCGAATACATCAAAATCACACTATAGATGGTTTCAGTATGCTGATCATTTTAATAAATTGTGAATTTTATCTAAAATATTAACATATTATGTGGACATGAAAATTCACTTTATATAGCATTAATTGTTTCATAATTAGTTTATTGTCATTGCAGTATATAAACCAGCGGATCTTTTGTGATGCATTTTGCTATTGCAACAACAATAAGAACAGCATTGGTGTCCAACTTTAGATTATGGTGGGTGGTATCGTCAGGTCAGATGGTGTTTGGGCTGTGATGATGTCAGTGCACCTCTGCAGGATGTTGTGGGTTTCACACCCCTGTGCTTCAATGCCTGGCAGAACCATTTTCAGCTGGTTTTTTGCAACAAAAAAAAGGAAGTAAGAGCAAAGAAGCAAGCATACAGACAGGACGTTTAATGCAGGGGACAGCTACAGCATTAACTAAATGGCTAACAGTCATTCTGAGCATGAAAATACATTTTTGCAAACTAAATTTTCTCAAAACAACAATATTTTTTCTGGTGGTGGTGATATTAAAATATCCATGATGCTATAGTACATTTTTATTATTCATATATAACATTTAGAGCCTAATTTTGTAAGCAAAACTATGATATTGTAAGGTTACGCAAGTTCACTATTCACTCAGTGTTTCTCTATTGCATGAAAAAAAATCAACTGACTGGATGTATGCTACCATTGAAAACAAGCCAGGAGATTAATGAAATAGCTGTGGTGGGTGGGAGTATTGGGGAGATTCCAAGAAGAAAACAGAGGAGCACCGGTGATTTTGCTACCTCCCATTAAAACAGATGGTACACTCTAAAAAAATCCAGGGTTATTTTTTTAACCCAAATAACCCCATTTTTGGGGGTTATTTTTTCAGTGTTTGGGTAGTTTTTGTGTTACCCAGCTCCTGGGTCAAATGTAACAACCCAATGTTTGGGTAGTTTTTTTTAGTGTTACCCAGCTCCTGGGACATAACCCAGCGGTTGAGTTATTTATCGGTGGAGTATTTTACAAAAGTTTAGTGGATTTAAGTTAATCTGTAAACATTATTTCATGTATAAAGTAAAAAATAAGCTATATTATAATACAAATTAATCAACCCATTATGATGGGTTAAATAAACAACCCAATTTGCTGGGTAAAATTAACCCCATATGTGTTCTGTCCTATATTTACTCCAACCAAATTGGGCTGTTTTTAACCCAGTGTTTTTTAGAGTGTAGTATAATTCGATAGCGAAAAGTGCTACCTATCAGATTTTGCTTCCAGCAGGTGTGAGGCTTTATTAACATGTACATCTACCCCAACCCTAAACCTACCCTTACAGTAGGATAAATACAGTGTTGGTATAATCTGATAGGTAGAATTATTTGTCAGAACACCGGCAATGAGATCTTTGGTACTGTATCAAGTGTGCGTTGCAAGTGTGATTGTTAGATGTTCTGCAGGCATCTCAGCTCAGTGTCTGGATCTCTGAAACTGACATTTTGGCATCTGGAAGTTATTACCATGAGTTTTTTTTTTTTCTTTGGAAAACAGCTACTTTCTATGACAATGCATATTATTATGTTTATATTGCTTTTGTTTAACAATAAGGCTAATTATTACTGTCAAAACGCAGAATCAAAACAAAATTTAATAATATATTCTGCATATCAGTTATAGGTCAAGTAAAATAAAAGTGTAAGAGAATGTGAATGAATATTGATCGCTCTCTCTCCAGGGTGTATGTTATTAACAATGTTGAGAGCAGATAACATAATTTAAAACAAGAAGAAACATAATACCTTACATGTGGATATTTACATTACTTTGTGGTGGGGGGTGATATGAAGCGGTGGGCGGAGGATGTGTCTTAAGACAGCCCCTTCTTTTGTCTTGCCCTGGCATTTCACAGCATGTGCGTGTATCGCAGCTTCAGAAGATTGCGAAGCGACTCGAGTCTCATCCGCGCTCCTTAAACTTTGATGGCAGAAATGGATGCGCGTTTTGCACGTTTAATGCGTTAAAACCAAGAGTTCCCGGGATTCTCATGAAGATTAAATCTTTGTTTTGAACAGGAGAAATCTGGACACGGAGTCGATGTGGAGATGCATCGTAAATTGTGAGTACGGAGCTACACGGAGTTAAGAATATTAAAATTTAGCTGTGACTTAGAGAGGATGCTCAAAAGCGCGTAGTTTATTTTGCGGAAATGTTTGTCTTTTAAATAATCCATGTGTTGTATGTGTTGTTTTTAGTGCGCTGCTCAGATTTCTCGCATCGTTCTTAATGCATTTTTACAATGCCCACCCACTTCATTTCACACCCTTTGCAAGTTGCAAAAAGACGTTTTAACTGGCTATTTGTTTTTATGTTAGCTACTAGCGCATACTTTAATCACCAGTAAGTTATTCTATAGTGAATAGTTAATTTAAAGTAGTAGGTTATGTGTTTATTAGATGCAAACGGCCAGGGGCGTTCGGAACGCAGTTTTCCTGATGGGGAGCTATTTGTGGGGGCCCAGAAAACCCAGAGGCGCCCCTATAGGCAGCGCTGTCCGTCGCATGAATGAATTTAAATTTAATTACTTATTAATTAAATGAGCTTAGGAATATGACAATGTTGTAACCATGTCTTGTGTTCCGCATTTTTAATCTGCTATTTAGAACAAACGAAACAGGATTCGCTCGTTTGAGTCGGTTCTTTTGGTCAATCTGATAATTCAGTTAAACTCATTCACGCTCCGAATTGTTTAGGAGTAGAATTGGACATTTTGAACACAGAGAAAGTAAAGAGCACCACCTACAGTTTGTTGAAACCAAACCTGCAAATACATCCTGTAAGCGATTAAAAAAGTTCGTTATTAATGTAAATCTTGTACTGCAGGTAAAGACAATACCATGTTATTTTGGACATCGTGTTATGTAGTCTACTCAAGAAAGGAGTAATGGCTGCTAAAAAAACTGCTTTACCATCACAGGAATAAATACATTACATTTTAAAATATATTCAAACATAATTCTTTTTTTTTCATAATAGTCCCCCTTAAAATATTGGTGCTACTTAGGCTATTCATTAGGTTTTAATAGGCTACTTTGGTGTTACTTGTTAATTTAATTTTTATTTAATTTAATAACAATAATTTAATAATTAATTTAATTTCATTTGTTATCACCATATACTTGCTAGTAATTAAAAAATAAGTCCTTATTTTAATTCAAATAAATGAAGGAACAGTTTGTTTTGCAATAATTGCTAAAACGCAGTTGAGATGAGGATGTTTGTAGTCTCTGCATATAACATGGAATTAAATAGGTTTCTTTTATGTGCTTTCACTTCCACATGACATAAGTACAGAGGCCTCATATTGCACTAAAAATGAACACTGAACTATAGTTAGCTTTTAAGGTCAAGACTGGTCACAGCTCAAAGTAAATAGGGATGCAGGGATCCTATGAACTATGAACAACAGCTGTCGGTGTTTGAGGGGGGTTGATTGCACCAGCTGTGTGTAACTTAATTAGCCTAGTTCCGATGTAAAGGGGCACAAAGTAACAACTTATATACTATACTAAATATTTTTGTTTTGTACTATTAAACTTTTTGCTGTTTATGAGTCTAAGGCTGTCATTTATTTTAAGTGATATTTAGTGACATTTATTTTAGTGATATTTTTAAGATTAGCCAGGACATTAAAAACAGCAGAGCACTTTTAAATGTGATATGAAGTTCAAAGAGGAGTGACGTGAACATTCATTTTAACGTTTCATTAAATAAACATCTACTGAGATCGCATACATTGACTGAAATATGTTTGTTAAAAGTGAAATGTGTAATTTAGTGTGATGCGTTGAGAGATCCAGTCAGATAAAGAAATGAATAACAAATAACAAATTAATAATAGGCTACATTTGAGTAAAATGAGAATCAAACTTTTAATAAATCAAAGATAATTATTGACAGTGGAGAGGTGATTAATTGTAATCACCATTTTATTACCAATAAGATTAATTGCAAGAAAAAAATGAGTAAAAGAAGATATAGTATCTTGCCACCAAAGCAATGAACAAAAGGACCCCTTGATACAGAGCAGAAAGTGTAGCACTCATGATAACTAAACGCTGTTTATACCCTTGTTCTAATCAGATAATATAAGGGTCATGCATCGTCATGCATCTTATGACTGGGTCAATGTGACCTGTCAATGCTGCATCTTATAGATTGTTGTGGATTATATATACAGTGGGTACGGAAAGTATTCAGACCCCCTTAAATTTTTCACTCTTTGTTTTTTAATAAATCTGCAAAGATGTCAACAATTCTGTGTTTTTCTGTCAATATGGGGTGCTGTGTGTACATTAATGAGGAAAAAAAATTAACTTAAATGATTTTAGCAAATGGCTGCAATATAACAAAGAGTGAAAAATTTAAGGGGGTCTGAATACTTTCCGTACCCACTGTATATATATATATATATATAGGTCACATAAAGTCATGTAATAACCTACAAGTATTAGTTAAACTATTAAAGAGGTTTAGATAAAGATAAAACATTGTGAACAGTTTTGGATACAACAATGTCATCATTATGCAAAAATTATGACATCCTTATTCATATCCATCTCTGCATATTACGCTAGGACACTTCATCCTCAGTTAAGTTTTAGTAATTGATTCTGGTATTTTCTGGTTTATCACTTGTGAAGCTGTTTTGACACAATCTGTATTGTATAAAGCACTATAGAAATAAATGTGACTTGATATGACTTTAATCAGTGTACTGATTTAACTTAATGACTTAAGCAGGGTTGAGCCTGGTTAGTACCTGGATGGGAGACCTCCTCAGTAGCTCCTCAATGCAGAACAAAGATCCAGGGGGCGTGGTTGGATCGACATCTAGGGGGTGGAGATGGTAGGCTAGGTTTAGGGGTGGAGATGGGTGGGTTTAGGGATCAGGGGGTGAAGACGGGTAGGTTTAGGTATATGTAAGGTGGGAGGAGTTGGATTTGAACCAACCACGAACCCTGGATCTTGTGTTCTGCAGTGAGGACCATCTCGACCTCCTGGGAAAACTAGGTTGCTGTTGGAAGAGGTGTTCGTGCAGCCAGCAAGGGGTGCTCACCCTGTGGTCTGCGTGGGTCCTAACGCCCCAGTATAGTGACGGGGATACTATACTGTCAAAAAGCACTGTCTTTCAGATGAGACGTTAAACCGAGGTCTTGACTCTCTGTGATCATTAAAAATCCCATGGCACTTCTCGTAAAGAGTAGGGGTGTAACCCTGGTGTCCTTGTCAAATTGCCCCCCTGGCCTTTGTCAACCATGGCCTCCTAATAATCTCCAACCACTTGACTGGCTCTATGACTCTTTCTCCTCTCCACCTGTAGCTGGTGTGTGGTGAGCCAATAAAGCGCTATATAAATGCATCATTCATTCATTCATCAGTGGTTCTCAAACTTTTTACAGTAGCATACCCTCTGGTGCATTTAAAATTTTTCTGAGTACCCCCACTTAGACCGCAGTCTCATCTTTTCCATTAAGGGACCATATTTGCCCCCTTAAATTGATTTACATGTGCATTTTTTACTTTTAGGGAGGCAAAGTTTTTTCTAGCCTAATTAATTGTATATCATGTTTTATGTAATATTCTTAACATGCCATTAAGTGTATTATTAATATAATAAATAAAGCAATAAATGATGGCAAAACAAAGTGATACTTGAAGATTTAAAACTAAAATAGTCAGTAGGTGGCTGCAAGTTCTGCCGTGAGCAACGAACCCATCGCGATGCAACGGACCCACAATTCAGTTCGGCAATGCTTGATGTCACTCCATTGAAAGTAAATGAGAGGCGTTGACGCCGACGCCCCGTGTGAATGGGGCGTTAATGAGCAAAGCGTCGCGTCATTCATTCATTCAGTAACGGAGCAAATGGCTGTAGTTATGAATGGGTTATTTATGACTCTCCAAATCGTTCAAAGCTGCAGATTCTTTCATTAACGAAACACCGCTGTTGCTTGGAGATGCACACCGGTTCAGTCGTGGATTCGTTGGACTATTATTATTTCATTGTAAAATGTAACAAACAATAATTGACAATATTGTGTTTAAAATGAAGGCTACATTTAAAATGTAAAATGTTCACTTAATATTACCTTTTTTGTTGAAATGTCATATATAATAAATGTCACAGTTGCAATCGTTTGGATATTCAGGGAAAATTGCATTCTTGCTCGTATTTTAAACATGAAAAACAACTCGCACAGGGTGTTTCTGTATCGAAGAGTTTCTTAAATCGATCTCTATGTACAGTCCATGTCAATATTTGTTCTTCATGCATACCGTAAGTGCTACAAATCTACTTTGAAGATACAATGAACAGCAGCGCGATTTGCTAAAGCAGCATAATCTGAGGGCATCCATACGCACGCTGCTTGTGTGGATGCAGTCAGTATTGACCGCAAAAGATGAGATAATTTGATGTAATTTGACCGTTTGCAGCACTCCCATTTTCCTGTTTTTAAACTAGAAGCGGCATTTTGCTTGTCAGAAATACATGCTCGGTTTTAATGTTACTTAAGTTGGGGTAGAATTAAATGAATGCCAAAGCTCAGCATTTTGTTCGCGTACTCCCTCTGTCACCTCACGTACCCCAGTTTGAGAACCACTGACTTAAATGTTCTTTCTTAGATTTTCGAGTGTTATATGACCTAATTTCTGTATTTATTTATTTTTAGAACTCTTATTGAATAATTCCACATAAGAGCAACGGCAGCAGCCACTGAGGAGCCTTTACCATGCAGGGATACACATGGAGTTCAAATCAGCGTCCTTCGCAAAGGTACCAAGATCGGCCTCCACCACAATACCAAGAACGACTTCCACCTCATTACCAAGAACGGTCTCCACCTCAGTACCAAGAACGACTTCCACTTCAGTACCAAGAACGGTCTCCACCTCAGTACCAAGAACGACTTCCACCTCAGTACCAAGAACGGTCTCCACCTAATTACCAAGAACGATCTAATCCTCAGTATCAAGAACACTTCCCACCCAATTACCATGCTGTCAGAAATGATCAACCCAGTGCATTCCAGGTACAGCTCATCCCGCAAATGCAAACCACATTACAGACAAGATATTCCAATGGTCAACAAGAGGCTGCAAATCAGTGGAACGCTTGCTCAGGCAGTGACACTTCTACTTTTCAACCAAACTCAAATGGATATGATTGGTTGAAACGGACAAACCAGATCCATCCCCAGCACCGATTTACAGCCAACCACACACAGCAGCACTACCCACCTGACAACCCCAACGCATATAGGCATCATCCCCAATTCGTGCAATGGCATGATTCCTCCCCACAGAATTACAGAAACACAGGCTATAGTCAAGCTCCAATGTATTGGTCTCCACAGTCAGACCATGGCAGCTCTGTGGGTAACAGCAGGGGTTGGAGTTCCCACATTTCCAACAATGGCAGCTCTTGTTCCATGAACAATCAGCAACAATTTCAAGCCCCTAGAATGGCTGCTCATCATCACCATCAACAACAACAACAAGAAGAGCTCTCTAGACAATATTCAGGCAAAACACGAAGATGCCACACACAATACTCTTCTCAGGCCTCCCAAAAAATTCCTAACAATCAAGCTCAGAGCAGAATTGAGGCCAATCGTACCTCGTGCAACTCTACGACACCACCTTCTGAAGCACAGAGCAATGTTTCATTGCCTTCCAATAATTTAAACCAAAGTCCTGTTGACCAGAATCGGCCAGAACTTGGGTCAAATGCAGGTCCAGATGTATCGGCGACCCAGCCTCAGAATAATCAAGATGCTGGACATCAGTCTCAGGGCACAAACAATGGGACATGTAACGTTAATCAGACCTCTCAAACGACACAGACCAGTAAAGCCCAGCTTCAGCCCCACTCTAAAACTGATTTTAACTTGTCATCTTATGCTGACTCAATAATATATAGATTACTGTGTTCAAATGATAATGAACAATCAGATGAAAGAACTGCACATCAGAACACTCGTCCAGAACAGTCGGAGGTTTGTGCAACCAGAAGGACTGACAATCACTCAAAGGAACCAAGAGCACAGTGTACAGTTGAACCGCCCAGCAAAAGAATGAAGTATGCTGTGATTCAGAGAGACTGTTGGAACAAAGTAACAATAGTGTCCAAAGACAAAATTGATTTTGGGGTGCAATATGCCCAAACTGGTACCCATCAGACAAGTAATGATGAGAACAGACGTAAAGGAACGAGCCAACACAACATACAGTACAGTACGGACCCAGCAGACTGTCTTGAAGTGGTGTTTGCACTACAGAAAGCTGCTCAGCAAATTCACAAGGCCATAGCCATCGTTCCACCCATTTCCCAACAGATCATAAACACTGCACCGACAGCTGATACCAGCCCCAAAAAAGCTGAAAGTCCACCGTTAAAGATTGATTGCGTTTGGTCACTTGTTGAAGAGTCTAATGAACAAAAAACTGTAAATGACAAGCTGTCTGAATCCTCCTCACAAACGGCTGAACAGGACAACAAAAGCCTTGAAAACACGACTGAAAGCAACATCGCAGACCCCGATGCATGCTCTGCTAGCCGGGTTGAATGTCAAAATGATGTGCAGCAAAGTGACTGTGATTCAAGTAATCCTTCATTTGACTTGTCCAATGTGCCAGTGATTGACCACACACTGGAGAAACTGATGGACTTAGCAAAGTCTTTAGAGATGACAGAGTTATTGGCCGGATATCCTGAGTATTCTGAGAGCGTTTTAGAAAGGATCGTGAAACTCTACTGGAATGGGAAAGCTTCCAATATGTTGGAGCCTCTGAAATCATTTGGTGAGGTACTGCACTTATCCATAATATATGCAAAGGATTACGGGTCTGTGGTATTTAAAGGCATCGAAACTGAAAACCTGAAGAAGCTAGCTCATTGCAACATTCTCAAAAAAGAGATGTATTCATCGTCAGAGGAGTTCAGGTCTTCTTGGTTAAATGTTGATGGACAGCCAGCTGATATTGAAAAGGTGCTTTCAGAGCCACAGTTGGATGACGCAACTGTGTTCAAGGCAACACCACAGACTTTTTCAGATAACACTGTTGTCGCTTCAGCCAGTTTAGGTGTGAATTCCCTCACAGACATGCCTGAGGTTTCATCCGAGGAGAAAAGTGTGAATCCACACACGAGCAGTCCAACAGATCTTTTCATACAAAAGGCTGGAAATGACAGTGAGGAAGTGACTGCGGAAAACCATGGGCATTCATATGTAGTGCTCAGAAAAGAAAGTGAGAAAGAGACATTCAAGAAACAAGAGGACATCAATCAAAACCAAAATTTTAATACAGAACCCTCAGACATCTCACCTTTAGCTGAAAGGTCTACAGAGAAACCTGCAGACCTCGGCAATGCAAAAGAAGTATTCAGACAAGATCACGAGCAAACACGTGATAATGTATCAGATTCACCGTCTCTGAGCCCTGGAGACAGTGTTTCAGATGGTGTAAAAAACTCTGAGGTGTCTTTCTCTACTGAGACTCATTGTACCTCCATGGATACATTGCAGGTGGAAGATGTTTCTGATGATAAAAATCCAGGCAATAAAGAGGCTCTGAATAACTCCTCAGACGCTTGGCTGGTAGAAGATATTTCCAATGATGAAAATCCAGTCAGTAAAGAAGCTCTGAATAACTCCTCAGAAACCTGGCTGGTAGAAGAAATTTCTGATGATGAAAATCCAGGCGATAAGGAGGCTCTTAAGAACACCTCAGACACCTGGCTGGTAGATGATATTTCTGATGATGAAAATTCTGGAAATAAGGAGGTTCTTCTTAATTCCCCAAACATCTGGCAGGTGGGAGACATCTCTGATAATGAGAATCCAGGCAATATGGACACTCCAAGCAACTCCTCAGACATATTTGCGGTGGAAGATGTTTCTGCTGATGAAAATTCAAGCGATGATTCCTTGTTTATGGGAAGAAATTTCTGATGATGAAAATCCAGGCGATAAGGAGGTTCTTCTTAATTCCCCAAACATCTGGCAGGTGGGAGACATCTCTGATAATGAGAATCCAGGCAATATGGACACTCCAAGCAACTCCTCAGACATATTTGCGGTGGAAGATGTTTCTGCTGATGAAAATTCAAGCGATGATTCCTTGTTTATGGGAATCACGGTGCTATCATCAGAAGATGCTAAAACATTTTTCCAACAGTTCGAAAAGGAACCTGAATGTAACATCAAAACCAAATCTCAATCCAACTTTGAGCACCTAGATCTTGTAGCGTGCTTTGATGCTCACAGTCAGCCTAACCATAAGCACAACAAAGCATATACTTGCTTTTGCTGTGGTGCAGAAAATGCAAAATCAAGTTCCACTAATGTGACAAAGACAGACAGTGATGCTGATCTTTTTTGCCCAGAGTGTTGGGAACAGGCACCACTTTTTGAGCTAGACGAGGAGCCATATGAGGCCAATCTTCCGGGCTCTGCTGCTAAACCCAAAAAATTGGGTCAAAATTATAGTCTGCCATGTCTTAAGTTGGAAGTCAATGAGCCAAATTTGGCTTCAACAAAGGAATGCATTGTGTATGAAGGACTGAAAGGACAAAAAAGTGATTGTCTGGTAAAATCAAAATCGGAAGAAAATTGTAGTCCACCATCCCTTAAAACAGAAGTCAAGGTGTCAACTGTTGCATCAAATGATGAATGCATTGCGTATGAAGGACTGGCAGGACAAAAGAGTGCCTTTTTGGTACAATCAGAACAGGGACAGAATTGTAGTCCGCCATCTGTTGAACTAAAAGACAAGAAGTCAAATGTTGCTCTACCGGAGACATGCATTGCAGAAGAAGGACTGGCAGGACAAAAAAGAGACTGTATGGTAAAATCAGAACTGGTAGAAAACCGTAGTCAACCATCTCTTAAACTAGAAATCAAGGAGCCAACTGTTGCTTCAACCAAACAGTGCATTGCAGGACAAGGGCAAAAAAGTGACAGTATGATACAATCAGAACTGAGACAAAATTGTAGTCCGCCATCTATTAAACTGCAAGTCGAGATGCCAAAAGTTTCTTCTCCAGAAGAATGCATTGCAGATGAAGGACTGAGAAGCCCAAAGAGAAACAGTATGGCAAAATCAGAAATGGGACAAAATCGTAGTTCACCATCTCTTGAACTGAAAGTCAAGGAGTCAGATTTTGTTTTACCAAAGACATGCATTGCAGATGAAGGACAGATAGTTAAAAAAAGTGGCTGTATGGGAGAATCAGAACTAGGACAAAATCGTAGCCCACAATGTCTTAAACTAGAAGTCAAGGAGCCAACTGTTGCTTCAGCAGAGGACTGCATTGCAGATAAAGGACTGACAGGACCAAAAAGTGACAGTATGGTAAAATCCGTGACTAAGACAGTGTCTGAAATTCAGGGGTCAGCTGAGAGGGAGATAACCAAGATTCAACCGAATAAGCAGAAAAATGAAAAAACAAAGAAAATTAGAGTACCCAAGTCCCAATCTCTCAAGCAATGCAGAAAACCATTTCCAAAGAAAACGGCGTTTTCCAAGCATAAGCTAAAATCTGGTAACATTAGTACTTGTTCTGATGATTCTGTGCTTTTCGCTCCAGATATTGTGGTTAAAATGAACTGGCCACAAAAGAAAAAACTACCTGGTGTATCTGCAAACAAACGCCGTAGTGGCGAGAGTCAGAACTGCAGTAAGGTGAAAAAATTCAAAGAACACAGACAAGAAAGACAAGATAATCCTGACAGAACCTCAACGATCCATAGAGAAAACCTACAGAAAGTGACAGAGAAAGTGTCTGATCAATCAAATGACACACCATCCCAGGAGTCAGAAAATAAACCGGAGCTGCATGGTATTCTGTCAGTGAATAAAATAAAAAGAACCGAGCCAAAGAAAGTGAGATTTGACTTATATGGGTCCAAAACAGAAAAACAGTACTATGCCCCAGAACGGCGTTTTTCAGCTCCTGCTACATTAACGGTCTCTGATTGCAAAGACAATACCGATATGCTTTCTGCTAAACAAAAAGTTCTCAACCAGTGGAGTAGCACCTTTATACCTAAAACAAAGAAGACTTGTCATCCCAGGTCACCACAGGAAAAAAAACCACAGAAACCTCAGGACCTCTTAAAGTCAAATATGAGTGCATTAAAAAGCCATTTGACTCACAGAGCCAAGCTATTATCTAGTAGTGACAGAGAGAGTCACTTTAGAAAACAAATTTTTCATCAAAAGCTTAGCAAAACACTAAGCAGCTAACCTGTGTCAAAGTTGCTTAATTGTTGCTTTTATTGTTTACTTAAATATGTTTACACATAATAGCTGTAGCTGTAATGTGTGATGACAGATTTCTGTTGATGACTGAAAACATGATGAATGTTTTTTTTTTTATTATTATTATTATTATTATTGAGAGCTAAATAAAGAAAGTTTATTTTTCTAAGGCATTATTGTTTGTAATATGCTACAATGTATGTGACTGAATCATGTCTTTGATTGCAGTCATTTTGCAATGTTACTTTGTAAGTATAGTTTTAATATTTTTTGTTACTATTCACAGTACTTCTAAATGTTGTTGCATTACTATTATTTTTTTTTTTTTTACTATTTGAAGTACTTCTGAATGTTGTTGCATAATGTGAAATATAAATATATATATTGTATTGTATATATATTGTATTTACAAATACATGACTGGAAAGTTTACTGGAAAGGCCGTTGTGTCACTTAATACATTTTGTAAACCACTTGTGTTTGTGTTTCAAGCTTCTTTGGTTCTACTGCAGAAACATTCATGTCTTAAAACATTCACCACAAGTTCAAGTCACTTTTACTTTAATCACTTTATCATACAATTATGATGTGTAAGATTATTCATTTAATAATTCATTTAATTTGTTTTAAATTTACAGTACAGATTGGTGTTGAAAAATGATGCAGCAACTGTGGTTTTATATAGTGGTGTAATCTGAAATACAAAAAAGATCAATAGAAAAACAGCTATTTTGAATTGAATTAATATTTCACACTTATTGTTATTTATTTCATCTTTAAAGGTATTCTTATTAAAGACTTGTATGAAAACGCACACACTCACGCATTTTGAAGGGCAGTTTCGTAGTCACGTGGTGTGCCTTTTTAAATCAATGATCGGGATAGACCAATCACATTCGTTGATGATTTAGGATTTAACTCGTTTGATTGAGAGTGCGAAGGTGAAAATCTCCGCATGTAAGTCAGTTAACGATAATTAAAATTAATTTTAAAGGATTCTACTTTTTTGAACTCCGTATGCCTCTTGGTGGAAGACAATTTGGTTCGCTGCTCAATGATTCAACTATGATGAGGTATGAAAAGACACCTTTCTTCTTTTCAATGAAAAATTAGGGTTCAAAGAAACCATAATATTATACGACCTTACAAGACATGGTCATGCCTGTCCAGTTCACGGGTGTTTTTAATTGGTCTCATACATGTTTAGACCTCATTCACATTTCATAGAGAAAGCACAACTTATCCTGAACCTGTTTTATTCCTTCCTGGTGGTTTTTCTTGAAGCATTGCAGGTAACCAGAGACTTTTACATTTATACAATATTTAGGGGCTATATCATCCAGGACTATTATGGAGGCTAAATAATAATAATGAGGTGATAAAGAGACCGGTACAGAGTCAGTTTCGTCCTTATTCACTATAGTGCAATTAATCACTTCTTACTGCATAATTATGCACTGACGCCAAATGCAGTTATTATGTAGGCTACTTATTTTAACACCTTGGATTTGCTTTCAGTAAACCGACCAGAGAAATATTTTCATGTCTGTTAAAAATGAGTCCCGTCTGAATATACCGTTCTTCAACTTTATTGTCTCATACAATAGTAGACATATTGAGGGGTGGTGTACCCCTTTCATCCAATAGGAGTATGCATTACATATGTGCGTTATATAAGACAGGAATATGTGTTATATAAAATGGGAATACAGGCAGGAAGTTCTGGACATATTAAGAGAAGAGTTTATTCCCAGATGCATCCTGAACTTCTGCGGAGATACTAGGCAGGGGCGTAGCCATCATTTCAGAAGTGAGTAGGGACAGAAATGTTATATATATATAACATTTAACCTCTATGCGAACACACTTGCCCGAGAAAGTGCGGGGGACGAATTTACGTGATATTAAAAGTGGGGGGGACACGTCCCCCGCGTAATCTATGCCCGATACTAGGCCTATAGCTACATATATGCACATGCGTATAAAATATATGGAGAGGGAGAGAGGAAGGGAAACAAAAGGAGGAAGGAGAGGGAACACCCTAAATGTTTAGCAGAGCATTCAAAATCAGAACTATCCGGTTTGTTGATGAATCAATCTTTTGAGTCGATTCTTTTCTACGATTTTGTTCATTTGGAGCGGTTTCAGTACCACCACGGTATACATCAAACTATACTATTACTATACAATAGTACTATCACAGTAGACTACATTTTAATAGGATACTTTTACAATACACACATTGAAACATATATACACATTGAATAAGTACAGACAATAAAAACGGGGAATAAAAAAGTAAAGCTGTAAAGAGACTAAAGAAGTGTTTACTTTCCTTCATTAAAGAGAGTCTATGAACCAAGAGTAATACATATAAGAACATAAACATTACCAAACATTATGCAGTTAATCAAGCATAAAGTAATTAGCCTAATAATAAAACCTAAATGTAATTTAACGTAACACTTTATTGTAAGGTGTCCTTGTTACACATGTTACTTGTACTTACTATTATAATAACAATAAATGATGCATAATTACATGCGAGTAAGCCACAACCTAATCCTAACCCTAACCACAAGTAGGCTACATGTAGTTTATTAATATTATTCAGTACTTAAATGTATAATTACACTGAAACAAGGACACCTTAAAGTAAAGTGTAACCTAATTTAATAATTAACTTCTTAGAATGGCTTGTGACAGAAAATTGAATCGTTAAGCACATTATTTTAACAATTATTGTTAACAATTAACCGTGAGCCTAAAAGCACACAGACCAATTTTAGATTAACTATAACATTTTATTGTAATACTTGTTTTCTGTTTCAGGTATGCACTTCACTTTATAGTTTGCAGCTAGTGTAGTGTTGTCTTGTCAGACTAAAAAAAATGCATACAGTAACAGCCGCGAATACAACAGCGGCCCGCAGCGGCTTAAAGGTAAATGAGCACAAATACATCACATCACAGTTACCACCACATCTCAGGTGTTCTCAAAAAGTTGCTATTCTCAGTAGATGAACTGCTTTAATAGGTTTCGTTCATGAGAGAGATGGAGAGAGTTTGTCAGTCTGTGTGTTAGTGGTTGGTGGTTTTCAGCGGCTGTTTCCACAGATTTGATTGATTCGGCAGCAGGCCTGCCAGAGTTGATTCGTTCATAAGAATTCTGATTAGTTCAAAAACACGAATTAATTCAGGAACAAACGCCACTACTGTAAGCTACTTAATATTAACTTAGTTTATTGCACTTTTATGGCAAAATAATTAAGAGGCACAAATGAAACTGAAAAAAATGTTTTAAATCATATGTGATAGTTTTCAACCTGACTTTTAATGAAATCCAATCAGTTCAAATAAGCATGGTTATTTCTGAGTTTTTTATTTTCTTTTTCTTTTTTACTTAACATAATCTTCGTCATTCATATGAAGCCCTTAGTACTTGCCTGTAGCTGTTGCACCAGACATAAAACCAGCTGCTATAACAGATGGGCAGTAGGTGCACTTCACCTACTGAAGGAGAGAGAACCAACCTCAACCTGAGGTTAAATAACCACTTGAAGTGAACCACTTATTAACTCTAAATAAATAAATCGTGTTTCACAAAAAATATTCAGGCAAAAAGAGCTTTATTGGCCAATATGCTCACACACACAAAGATTTTTTTTGGTTCACATCTATAAAATCTATATTAGTGGTGTTGATTATGATTCATTTTACTTGAATCTTTTTCTTCTGTTCACTTTTGTTCAGAGTCATAAATGAGTCATGGTTGAGGAGATTCCCCCCTTCCATGTAAATACAAAGCACTCTGAGTAGCCAGAAAAGCACAATATAAATGTAACAAATTGCACTCCTCATCATTACATCATGTCACAGGGTGGCGTACAGTGAATGTCTTTTTGAGAGTTGAATCATTGAATGTACATCAAAAGCAGAATGACAGAAACCTCGTGAAGTGAAATTTGCAGATTTGCGTGAACATAAATATATTTAATTTACATAATGTACATTTTATGCATCCCAGTGATGTTGATCATCTCAATGAAGCATCCAAGAACCTGAAATCAAATAAAACGATCAGTCAATTTCTCAGTTTAATTCAACAGTGAAGACCAAATTAAATATAATAAAAAAAAATGTTTGTGGTGCTTGGTTTTGGATATTTCCCAGCATGCACTGCAACATGAATAAAACATGCAAATTAGTGACTGTTTTTATGGTTTATTGCATTATTTGCAATTTTTTAAATTTCTTTTTTTATTTGTTGGGTTACATGTCATTTGATGACATTTTAGAATGCATTTTATACCCTTAATGATGTACTTCTGAGTGTCACCATCATTGTGGTTTGCAGTCAGGATCATCTATCCAGCACATATGAACTGAATCTTGATTCTTTCATTTCATATTTAAATTTAGAAATATTATGGAGCTGTAAGACATATAGAGTTTAGTTGAGTATGTCTTCAGTACTGTTTTGAGCGCAAACTGATTTTAACTTTTTGTGGATGATCTTAAATTTAGAAAAGTCAAAACATCAGTAAGGATGTTATTATTATTATCAAATATTGGCATTTTAAGTCAAATTTGAAAATCTGCTTTAGTGAGCAACTGGTTGCTCAACTTGATGAAACATGATCTTTTTATCTCAGATAAAATTTTATCGAAAATTATTTGAAAAAAATTAATAATAATAAAAACATGCCTTTGCAAAAAATTCTAAAGACACTGTGTTGATTGTAGGCTTGCTTTAAAACAAACTCTATGACACAAAAGATAACTGTTTGCCTTTCAACCTGAAAATCTTGGTTTAAATTTTCACATTAAATCATATGGTTACATTTTTACTATAATACTAAAAAAAATCACCTCACCATTGTGTGCCCCTGTGGCAAGTTTTTTGCCTTTCATTCATGAAAGTCTTGGTTTGAACCCCACAATGATTGTTAATTTTATATCTTATGATACACGGCTCTCAATAACATACCATCTAAAACACCTGCCAACTCTCCAGGCTCAGGTGGTAAAGTATTGCATTTTAATTATGGAGACCTGAGTTCAAATCCCACTATTTCTTATGTTACGTTATTGTTCAAGCCTTTGTTGATTTTTTAAATTCTCATTTTAAAGACACTGTTGTTTGTAGGCTTGAAGCACCACAACTTTTGTGGTGCAGAGAATTATCATTTGCCTTTGAATTTGAAAGCCTGGGTTCAAATCCCACAATGTTATTTATATATTTATTTTATATAATAATGCATTGTCAGGACTTCCATCAAAGTATTGTCAGAAACAATACTTTGCAAAGGATAATTGTTTGACTTTCAACATGGAAAAACTGGATTTAAATCCCACAATTGTATGACTACTTTTTCCAATTATGCTGAAAAAATACCGTCCCACCATTTGGAGCCACTGTAGTCCAGTGGTAAATAATTTACCTTTGATGCGAGAAAGCCTGGGATCAAATCCCAAGGTGATGGATGCTTTTTCTTCTAATAAAACTGAGCTCTCAATATACACTTTCTGAAACCCTGTCCAACTCTCCAGATGCCGTGGTAAAGCATTGCGTTTGAGTTCAAATCCCACTATTGCTTATGTTAAGTCCCACTTGCCTTTGTCAATTTTTTTCTAAATTCTCATTTTAAAGACACTGTGTTGTGTGAAAGCTCACATCACCAAAACCTCTGTGGCACAGAGGATAATCTTTTGCCTTCGAATGTGAAAGCCTGGGTTCAAATACCACAATTCAATTTATTTATTTATTTATCTTCACATAAAAATGCTTTGTCAGGACTTTCATCAAAGTATTGGTCAGAAACAATACACTGCAAAGGGTAATTGTTTGACTTTCAACCTGAAAAACTTGGTTTAAATCCCTCAACTTTTAAATTTTATGACTACTTTTTCCAAACATGCTAAAAAAAATACAACTTCAGCACTCCAAGCTGCTGTCGCTCAGTGGTAAACAACTTACCTTTGACACAAGAAAGTCTTGGATCAAATCCCAAGATGATGATTGTCTTTTCTTTTTATAAAACTGTTACTCTTAATACAATACCATCTAAAACATCGCTTTTACTCCTCCAGACTCAGTGGCTCAGGTGATAAAACATCGCATTTTAATCATGGAGACCTGAGTTCAAACCCTGCTTTTGCTTACATTTCATTTTTATTTAATTCACACTTCAACAAAGTGGCCCAAACGCCATCACTTAACATGAAAGCCACAGTGGTACAAGCGGCTAAACACATGCTCTGTAAATGAGATTGTGCAACAGAGACATAAATTCGAATCCCACAAATGCTTCCATTATTTAATCTTTCAAAAAAAAGCTCTCAATAAAATTCCTCCGAAAACACTGCTCAACTTGCCAGACTTTGTGGCTCAAGACATAAGGTGTTGTGTTTTAATCTTGGAAACCCGGGTTCGAATCCACCTATTGCTGACATTAAATTGCTGAAACCTAAAATATTCTGAACAAAGTGCCCCAAATGTCAACTATCAGTATGAAAGCCACGATGGCACTAGTGGCTAGACACACGTTGGTTGCGGACAAGGTTACGGTAGAAGCATGGGTTCAAACCCCACTTCAGCAACTTGGGATGACCCAACAGTGGCCTAGATGGCACAATACCTGGGGCGAAACCAAAGCATGTCGGCTGGCAACCGACAGTGGCCTGGATGGCATGAGACAAGAGGTGAAAATGAAAAAAGTTGGCCAATACTGACAGTGGCCAGGAGGATGACGCGAAGCCAAAGAGAGTCGGATGGCGCATGACAGTGACCTGAAAAGCACAAAACTGGGGCGGTAAACCTGGACATGAGCGAAAGACACACCTGGAGGGGAGTGGAATGGGATGACCAGGATGTGAGAGATGGAGGCGGAGCAGGCTAGGCAGACAGATACCTGAAGAGAGAAAGGTGTGAAAAAAAGGGAAATTTTTTTTTTTTTTGGGCCCATTTTGGGTTTTTTACCAAAAAAAACTCACAACACTTTCCAGCAGGCTTGAACCCAGGTCTCCCATGCCATGGCCTGTGTATTAACCACTCGACCACAACCACCTCACATTTACACATGTACTTTAACAATAGTTAAGGACAGACTCACAGATGCAATTTAAAAAAATAAAATAAAAGAATAAAAATTATAATTATAATTAAAAAAATATATATTTCTGAATTACTGATCATTCAAATTTGAATTAAAACCTTGTGTCTACATTTAATTTTATGTATTTATAATTGCAAACAACATTAATACTAAAAGAATGGTTTGTAGCCAGCACAGTTCGGTATATATATATATATATATGCTACTACCACTAGTAACACATTTCTAAGTAAAAATACTCTAGATAAATAACACTATAGAGATGTGTACTTTCAAGATTTTTGCAACAGCATTAAGACAGAAATAACTAGAATAGGCAAGTCCATTAATTACAACAAGGTGTCCACATATGTTTGACCATATGGTGTTATCATTATAAGAAAAACCCTAAGTACTAATACTCTAAAAACCCCAAATACATGGACATGGAAGTAAACATTACCTTGAACTCTGCTTCTGTTGGGTAGATGTGTAGTCCAAAGACATTCTTTAATCTACAGGTTAAATAGACAAATAAAAACATTATGTATATGGTATTCATTTTAGAATTAACTGTCTTAATTGAAAATAATAATAATAACGTAAGGCTTTAGGCTGCAGCAAACACATACGTGATGTGTAGAATCTTAAACAAATAAAAAAACACTTTCATTTATTGCTCGGTTTCATAATAATGAATATCATTAATCATATAAAGTTTATAAAGATAATGCAACAAATACTGATTATTCTAAACGTTTGACAAAAGAGTTCAGCAAGAGAGCATCAAGTAAACAAAACCTCCATAGAAGAAGATGATTTATACAAGATTTATACATGATGTCAAATAACAAGCACTTTTTATACTTGTTTTTACTTTTTAATGCATAAACCGAAAAATCCCTGAAAGCCTGCTTAACACATGAAATCTTATGAATCTAAAAGAACTGACAGATGAGCCCTGCTAATGCATATCAGAACGACACATCAACTTAAAAAAATACTTTAAAAAACAAAGACTGCTGTGTAATGCGCGATAGTAATAATACAAATGCGCTGCAGAAAGTTAACGTTACTTACCAATGTGTCGCGTTTCACTTGCTTCCCGTACTTTATCGCAGGTTGTTTGCTAACAAGCTGTAATATGTGCTGTTGAGAGTCTGTAACTGAGCCGTCATCAGCAGGATCTGTATTTTTATGCCATTAAAACAGTCTGAATGTGTTGTTGTGGCCACTGTTGTCCAGCGCATTATGCGTCTGAAGGTGTCACGGTAACAGAGAAACCCGCTTATGCCGCCTAGTGGAGCGGATGAAAAACGACATCAATCATTAGGTTAATTAAGCGTGTAATGCAGGTGAAAATACGTGTTCGTCGGCTCCCTCTTGTTGCCATTATGTGTATTATTAGCATTAATAAATGAAAAACTCGAGGTGGTCAATCGCAGATGAGATGTGTGAGATTTAAAATTAATTTATTTGAAAACAAATATATGATTTTGTAAGCATCTCTCGCCCAGCAGAGCAACACGCATCTAACGTTACTGGTTTCGGCATTTGACCCAGATCAGCTCTCAAATGATGGGGTAAGTCGTAGATGAGGGGACTGTGACTGATTTATTCATTTAAAATTTCGTACAATTTCGGTACGAAAATTGGTTGGTTTTACATATTCAAGCAGCATTTATAGTAATTAATCTAGCAGTCAGACTGTGATTTAAAAAGAACCGGGAGGTATATGACCGTAGTTATGTTTGTTTCTGCAAAGGTTTTTATTTATTTTTATTTTTTTTTTACAGCAAATAGCTAAAGCCACGTAGGCCAGCAAAAAGCGTTTATTGAGATCACTGACTCAATGTACTGCTCGCATCAGTTTCTTTAATGGGCAAGCAGAACGTTAATAAAACGTGTTTTAAATATATGTATGACTTTGTTTTATTTGTATTAAATGACATTTTATGAAATATGCAAACGTTTTCTGCTAAGAGGGCGCATTAAAAGACTAAGTTCGTTTTAGGTTCTCAATGCGGCGGATGTTCGGAAGGGAGCGTCTGAAAATTCCACCGACTTTGCTAAAAATTCCGAATTCAAGGCTTCATTCAAATGAAAAACCCATAAAATCACATTCGAATGACTGGAGTTGGTTCATGTCTAACTACAACCTGTGGGGACATACTACAGCATTTAGAATGTGAAAATATAATTTTGTGAAACAATCGACCCCTAAAGGGGGCAGCCGAGGTTAGGAGAGATAGGCTAGTGATTTGTCTGAAATAATTGCTGTTTAGTTTTCAAAAGTTTACATACACCTCTCAGAAGCTGCCAAATATTAATAAATTTGACAAAATAAGAGCGGTCATAAAAATGACATTTTGTTTTTAAAGCTCTGCCTTGAATAAGCTATTTCACATAACACATGATTACATAGTTACCCATGACCCAGTTCAAAAGTGTATTGTTGATTCATAATGCTGTGTGTCATTACTTATGAACCACAATTCAATTCAGTTGGTTAAGTTGTTCACTATTCTTGAGTTTTCCAGCATCATCTTCATATTTGAACATTGACTGTATGAAATCCATCATTTCGGGCACAAACATTCACTAATCCTCAAGAAGTAAAAACAATACATTAAGACCATGCTTTTTACAAAAAACTTTGGTGGTGTACATTTTTCCTATATTGCTTAACAATCTTATTTTTTCCCCCTTAGTACCGCCATTCAGAAGCTACAGAGATACTTACATATTACCCAGAAGACAAAATGAGTAAATGTAAAATGGCATCTAAATGTAATTGTCACAAATGTTATTTTAGTAAATGAGAAATTCTTCCATTAAACCAAATATTGAAACATTTGAGATATTAACTTAAATGTGGATCATTCCACCAAAAGCACAAATGCTTAATGACAGTAAAAAAACAAAAAATAAATGTTTTGTTTCTACTGCTACATTGGTGGCCAAAATTACACTAGTATTTTAAATGCCTACAGTACTGTTGCTTTGCAGGTAGGTTTCTTGAAACATCTTGGAGACGTTGCCACAGTTCTTCTGAAAATACTAGTGTTCTAAAATTGTGGCCATCACTGTATTTTCATTCATTAATGCAGATACACTTAATATCCACAGGAGGGCGCTGGCGATTTGTCCTGATCTCTCGTATGTAGTGCTGAATCCTGGCTGGCCTACAGGTGCGTTTTTAGCTTAGGATAACAGAACACTGAGGCATCACTTAAACCAAAGTCCCTTTAAGGCATTTAAGGGTATTCTACAGTCTTTGCTTAAACATAGTGCACAGGTCTCTTTCCCTGGAATAACACGTTACCTCCTTTAAAAAACGTAATGATATAATGGTGTATAAAAAAAACATTTTATAACTTAATTTTCGTACAAAACCTATATAACCCAAATTTTAGAAAGTTTAAAATGATTAACTGCCCAGAAGGTGGGTAATTTGAATCAATAAAAACAACAAGTGAAACCTGTCGGATGTTATCGCATGTAACGACTTAAAAAGCGATGTATCTGTCATGTGAAGTGTTTGTAAAGAAACAGTTAGGCCTAAAAAAATTGAATCGGACATTCCGTCGCTAATAGCCAGGCAAATAAATGTTTTGTTTCGACTGCTACATTGGTGGCCAAAATTACACTAGTATTTTAAATGCCTACAGAACTGTTGCTTTGCAGGTAGGTTTCTTGAAACATCTTGGAGACGTTGCCACCGTTCTTCTGAAAATACTAGTGTTCTAAAATTGTGGCCATCACTGTATTTTCATTCATTAATGCAGATACACTTAATATCCACAGGAGGGCGCTGGCGATTTGTCCTGATCTCTCGTATGTAGTGCTGAATCCTGGCTGGCCTACAGGTGCGTTTTTAGCTTAGGATAACAGAACACTGAGGCATCACTTAAACCAAAGTCCCTTTAAGGCATTTAAGGGTATTCTACAGTCTTTGCTTAAACATAGTGCACAGGTCTCTTTCCCTGGAATAACACGTTACCTCCTTTAAAAAACGTAATGATATAATGGTGTATAAAAAAAACATTTTATAACTTAATTTTCGTACAAAACCTATATAACCCAAATTTTAGAAAGTTTAAAATGATTAACTGCCCAGAAGGTGGGTAATTTGAATCAATAAAAACAACAAGTGAAACCTGTCGGATGTTATCGCATGTAACGACTTAAAAAGCGATGTATCTGTCATGTGAAGTGTTTGTAAAGAAACAGTTAGGCCTAAAAAAATTGAATCGGACATTCCGTCGCTAATAGCCAGGCACTTGCAGGTAGTGATGGGAAAACCGGAGCTTTTCGAATCATTTGAATCGATTGCTTCGCAAAATGATTCACTCTTCCGAAGCGCTCGAAACACCACACGCTGGCGACACCTGCTGGTCAAAACGGTGTAAATACAACCACAACACAGTCCGAATTTGTTATGGCTATTTTTGCAAACCAAATGCAAATGTTTAAATACCAAAAGATTACAAAGTAAATAGCATTAAATATGAAGTGTATGTCTAATTTGTGTTGTTTTATTAGTGCTTGTTTTGTGTAGACCAATTAGAGACAAATTAATCCTCTAACTTTTACATTTACATTACATTTAGTCATTTAGCAGAGCTTTTATCCAAAGCGAAATGAGGACAATGGAAGCAATCAAAATCAACAAAAGAGCAATGATATGCAAGTTCTATGACAAGTCTCAGTTAGCCTAATGCAATAGACTTAGCAAGTTTTTTTTAAAATTATATAATAAATAAAAAGAAAACCGATAGAATAGAAAAAGAATAGAGCAAGCTAGTGTTTTTTTTGTTGCTTTTTGTTAATTGTATAATAAAAAGAAAACAAAAGATAGAATACAAAAATAATAGAGAATTTAGTGTTAGTTTTGTTTTGTTTTAAAGAAATAAGCAATTTGAATAAAAAATGTAATAAAATGTAATAAAACTTGTGTTTTTCATGCTTGACAAGCGGCCACGTACGACACAGAGATAGCTAACTACTACACTATAGATAAAGATAATTTCAGAAGAACAGAGTGATGTGATTTTGCAACCGAGCCTGGTCCAAAAGCAGGATTAAGGTAAGGATCAAAATCATGCACACCTGTTTGCTTTTCTGTTTAATTTAACAGTGTTTTGTGAACATATATGCATTAATAACAAATAACTGTAACACTTTACAATAAGGTTCCATTAGTTAAATGTTAGTTAATGTAATAAATTGTATTAAAGCGTTAGTTAATTATTGTAAAGTGTTACCCAAATAATGTATTTGGAGTGAGACAATATAAAAAAAATATATATATACAATATATATTTCATCAATATAAAAGCCCCCCCAAGTTGTGTGTCCTGGCGTCAGGCCAGGGCAGCAGATCATGCCAAAAATCTGGGCAAAAGATGTGTAGTGTATTCCAGCTGTACGTATGGTTAACCGTTTAAAGACAGCATGAAATGGCATTCACAACTATTTTATTTTCATAATGTGACATTTTCATCTGAAATGAAATATTCAATCAGAAAAAAAACAGGACAAGAATTTATTTTACCTACTGTGATTTTTAAGTGGACAGGAAAATGTTATAATATTCATCAATATTATTGCTTAATCAAAAAGTAATTTCATAGGCAGAAAATATATTTTTATAAAAAAAAACATATTTGTTAAAAAAATAAATGCCAATGCAGAGTTAATTAGCATGTAATGTTGCTGCTTTAGATTTAATCGTGGATACTGAATTAAATCAGATAACATCTTCATTTTGTACAGTACAGAATAGTGTTTACCTGTAACCTGGGGTATGTACGGTATGGCCAGTCTCTCTACGTTATATCCAGGTACAGACAGAGCTTCTGCCAGATCAGCCGTTTGAAAATACAAACCAACAGCGTCCCGGTCTAAAGACTCTGGGAGCCTGATCCACACACAAACATACAGATACACACAAGGAAAAAGACCTGGAATGAGTTATGCCATTGTTATTATGCATTAATAAAATCAACAGATTCAAGCCATGGCTGATATTAAAACTCAATACTATTTTGACTAAATACATTAAAAATTAAATCTAAAACAATAATTTTAAAGGCTGCAAATAAATTCAGAACTCACAACATTATAATGTACAGCATGAAAAAATTGATATTTATTTTGAGTTCAGCTAAAGATTACATTTAATAGCTTTATTACTGTTTTTAAAGATTAACGTTAAGTGAGTTGTAGATTAAGGCCAAGGTAATGAAAAATTTGAGGAAATGTGCCTGCATAATTAATGATATCAATACATTTTAAAAAAAATCTTTAATATCAGCTGATTACTGATATAGTCCTTTAGTAAAAACACATTCACAGAAATACTCACACACACTTCTCTCTGAAGACGTGTTCAGGCAGAAGATACGGAGCATCCAGATTTCTCATCTCAATCACCTGACAGGAAGAAAAGGAGTTACAGGTTATCCAAAGCGAAATGAGGACAATGGAAGCAATCAAAATCAACAAAAGAGCAATGATATGCAAGTTCTATGACAAGTCTCAGTTAGCCTAATGCAATAGACTTAGCAAGTTTTTTTTAAAATTATATAATAAATAAAAAGAAAACCGATAGAATAGAAAAAGAATAGAGCAAGCTAGTGTTAGATGCCTTTTTTGCTTTTGTTAATTGTATAATAAATAAAAAGGAAACTAATGTTGTAGAATACAAAAAGAATAGAGAAGCTAGTGTTAGTTTTTTTTAAGAAAAGATAGATTCTTTTTCTATTCTGTTTTCTTTTTATTTATTATATAATTAAAAAAAACCTTGCTACGTGTATTGCGTTAGGCTAACTGAGACTTGTCATAGAACTTGCATATCATTGCTCTTTTGTTGATTTTGATTGCTTCCATTGTCCTCATTTCGCTTTGGATAAAAGAAAGGCTAAATGACTAAATGTAATTAATTTTAATTTTACTAAATGTAACTACAAGCAGTTCGTAAATGAATAGAGTGCAAGTCTAAAAGGGGCACGTTTTTTTAAAAGAATAGAATTAGAATAGAGAGTTAGAGTATAGAGTTAGAGGGCCAAGTAAAGATGGAAGAGATGTGTTTTTTGTCATTAACTGATTCTAAATTATAAAACGGACCGAGATCAGGAAAACACACAAAAAAAAAACGTCAGGCACTTGTTCATGGGTTCACAAGATCATCGCCCTCTAGCGACGAACCATCAAAATTGACCGAATCACTGAATCGAATCGAAGCAAAAGATTCATTACATTTTTGAATTAAGAAAGTTTCGAAGCTACGTGCAAGAGATAAACACATTTCTAGCGCCCTCCTGTGGATATTAAGTGTATCTGCATTAATGAATGAAAATAGCAGTTGGAACGAAATTACTTTCTTTATTGTCTTCATAAAGCATTTGCGCTTTTGGAGGAATGATCCGCTTTAATAGTGGTTGTTTCCGACGCACGCATCATTTACTTCCATTAACGTAGTTGATACAAATTGTCATTTACTCACCTTCACGTCCAATCCGATGACGTTTACATCCGTGAAACAAGGAGGAGGGATGATCATTAAGCGTCAAGCTCCAAAAACACAATCAACGTTATCCATATAATTCGTATACGTTATTCCAAGCGTTCTGAAGTGATTCGACTGCTTTCCGTGCACAAAAATGTTGATTTTGTTATGTTTTCAGTCAAATATTGTCCTCCTCGTTCGAATCTGCCGCGCACGTGAAAACGTCTGTTTGTTTACATAAGCGTAGCACGTTGGGTGCGTTCTATACCATATAAGGAGAAAAGGGCGGAGCGAAAGACACTGCACGCAATAAACCTCATTGCTTTTCGCGTCAACGTGGTAGTTTTGAACATGTAAACGTGAACGAGAATATACAAAATAACTAAATTGTCTGGTAATGATGTAGGCGTTAAAATGGTCTTGTGATTCATAGTTTTATAATGAATTTGCTTTTTATTTATACGATGCAATTTAAACCCAGTTCCTAGAACACGTTCACTGTATCACAGTATCACTGCAAAAAAGTTTATTTTCAGGGTAAATGTGCTTTCAGATGCACTTTCCAGCATCGCTAACAGTGCATTTCATTCTAAATGTTTTTTTAAGATGTGCAAACGTTTCCTAAATACCAACTTTGGCTGGTAAGGAGTTGGGTTGTTGTGGGATGGTGGGAGATGAAACAAAATGCAAGGGAGGTGTGTGGTTGAATTCTCACGATTCTCATTCACCTTCTCCCTAGCAGCCAAAGTTTGTATTTGGCAGATGTATTCTTACGCAAAGCAACTTTAAAAATGTCTGCTTATTGAGTTTGAACCTGCATGAGTGCAGTTGAATGCCACCATCCTACCAGCGCAGCTTGGTATTTCATTATTTATACTCTTTAATTTGGAGTGTATCACTAGAGGGTCTGTGCGTTGCTTTAGGACAGTGTTAACCCTTTGAACCCCATGACTGAAATCTAATAACTGATATAATTATCTTGGTTTTAAAATGCCATTTTAATGTTCTGAGAAAGACAACTAAGCCATTTAATAGGTTGACCAAATAGTATAAACACTGCTTTATGTATTTGTTTTAATATTTAGAATACCTAGAAAGTTATGTTATAATTCATGTTCATTTCAATAGTGATGCCCTGTGTAATTATGTGGAGTCAGGAATAATGTGATTACAAGATGTGACATTGGAATGGGCATGTCAAAATTAAATGTCATTCTTTAATAATGACAGCACTTATATGAAAACTTTGCTTTATGCAAGTTATTTATTTGTTAGATACCATGCATTAATTTTATAGGTTGTGTAAAAGTGATGTAGGTACAGCGTATCCACTTGTGTTTAGTTAGGCTGCTCGAGTCATGCCTGTCCAACTCGTTAGTAGGACCTTTATTATCAGTTTTTCGGATTGCTTTGAGCCAATCACCTGAGCTGCAAATGTCATGTGACTAATTACTCTAGCAACAGGAAATTGTTAAAATGACTGTACTGATTGGCAGTTCTGAAGTTTAGCTACTATCATGAACTGTATTGTGAAAGGTAGTAGACTTTTACACACTTTTGAGAGCCCTTAAAAAAGGAAACCTTGTAATCTATTATAATCGTGAATTAAATGTTGCAACCGATTTAAAACTTTAACTTGGTGTGCAAAAATGAACCTCAGTAGCAAGTAAAGAAAAACAAACCACAAGAGTCATGAAAGTTTAATTTTTTAATTTGTTTATTTTAAAATTAAAATAAATAATGCATGTAAAAATCTCTGAGAAAACAAACATTGCTCATGTTTAAATGTGGAACATTACAGCTTGTTGTAATGTTTCCATGAAAACTCTTTAATAAATTATATCACGTACAGATGGTGAACACAGAACATTACACAACAAACGCATCCTTGCACTGCTCGAGTATGATTTTGTGTACTTTGAAACAGCAAGTCTTTCATCGATTCTTTTTTTTTTTCCAAACCAGGTTGAGTCAACATTCACAAAGATGAATAAAACGAGAACAGAGAGAGAAAGAGAGAAATAATCAGAAGATGGAAAACCGGCCTTCTGTGTGGAAGGAAACAGCGCTGACAGCGATATGAAGGCTTGTGGAGTACGTGAGTGCTAAATCCTGGCGGCTCCATCTTGTGCAGGGCGTCCCACTGGCCTACAGGTGCGTTTTTAGCTCTTAACAGCTGTGCTTAGGATGACAGAACACCGAGGCGTCTGGTTGGCCGCTTCCGACTCGAGACCACATGGGTCTCTTTCCTACGTTCTCTCTTTCACCTCCGTTAAACCATATAATGATGTATTTTTTAAAAAACATTTTATAACTTTATTTTCGTACAAATCTATATAACCCAAATTTTAGAAATCTTATTTACATGAAAAAAGTTTAAAATGGCTAACTGCCCACCCCAAGAAACGGTCACACATTTGCATTTTTTTTGTTTTGTTTTTGTGTTTAACGCTTTTTCTTGTACAAAGAAAAAACAGCAATAGACCATCAAACAGCAGTAGACCAAGCCAAAAAGCTCTTCTTTCTCAATGTATGATCTTAGGAAACAAACTGCCATCCTCAACCTGTGTCCACCTTATCCCATGATGCATTTTATTTAAGGGGGCAAAACCGAGAACAAACCAAAAACGGAAAGAGAAAAATAATAAAGGTGGGTATCTTTGTCGTTCAGTGCTGTCCTCTTAGGTTTACCCCTCATGGGCAGGAGGAACACTTGCTGGCGGCAAAGGTAAGAGGAACATTGTCTCCCTCTAGTGGTGCGTTTCAAGCACCGCAGGACACGGGGCTCACACGCCACCCTCCTCCGCACAGCCTCCGCCAGCTGTGTAACGAAACTCCTGCAGGTTGGAAACACCGTGGAAGTGCACAAAAGCACCTGCTACCACCAGGATATGGAACAGCTGATGGGAGTGGAACTGCAAAATAATGACAAGGTACGGATTAGACTTGAAATGTATTGAGAGGCTAGCGTGGATTGTGAACTCAGTGTATGAATTCCAGGACGTCGACTCACCCAGATGTCACACTTGCCAGGGAAGAATCTCTCTGGGATGCGTGCGGCGTACAGGCAGGCTCCGGTGATGTACAGGACGGCCATGAGGAACAGCCAGCCCATCTGACCCATGGTGGTGGCCCTCAGGAAGCCCTCAGTGATCATAAAGTGCAGCGTGGGGACGACTCCACTGAGGCCCAGACCCACAAACACACCTGAGACACAGAAGACAGGACAGGTACTCATTTAACTATTTATATTGCACTATTAGACATTTCTAGACTTGTTAAGAACCAAGCGCAAGCAGAGATTTATGACCCACCACTGGCACGTGGCAAAATGTCACACATTTGTCCTGAACAGAGTGAGACAGTGTCTTACCAGCCCTGACTCCACGGTACTGTGGCGTGGCGAAGAAATCACACTGTGAGACAGTGATGGCAGCGATCCCCAGGATACACACCACTATCAGGTATATGAAACAGGGCTGAGGGGAGCAGTAGAAAGAGTAATACAGCCACGGTACAAAACTGCCCATGATCAGGAACGCAATGCCCGAGTAGTCTAACCTGTGATAGAAAGGAAAGAGAGAAAGGAGGTTAAGAGAAAAATCTATATTAAATAATTGAATGATTTTTTAAAATCATTTTAAATATACCCAAATTTAATGATTTAAATTAAAAAGTATCAATTCCAATAAAAATAATTTATTAACTAAAAAATGAATTTAATTCATTCAAATGTACTTTAAATAAAAAAAAATTAAACAAACATTTTTAAATATACTAAACTTAAAGAGCAATTTAACGAAATTTCAAAAATGTTTAGCAACTATCTTGACTTTATTAGCTTTTGTTAAATAATTATTTCACAGAATTAATCTTGTTTAATGTTTACATATAGATTATTTTTAAAGTTAAAATAAATATATTAACATTATATTATATATTAACATAATACACATTAACAGATGTTTTGGACTAAAAAAAGAACTATATCTACTAAGTATCATTAACCAAGATTAATATATGCCATAAAGTGATCCTAGTGCATCAAATACTAAAAGTACTGAATCTTATAATAAAGTGTCACCCACAGTTTAAAATTCCCTAATAGTTGGGAATACTATCCACCTTATTTTGCAACGTGGAAATAAACTATTTTCTGTGAATGTGCGAGACTTCAGATTCATTAGCCACTATAGGTAAATAACTAGAAGAATAACAAAGTGCAGTAAACGGTAAAACTATTTGCGCTATAAACCAGTGTGTTTATAATTGCAATAATACATTAAAATAATATAAGAAATACCAGTTAGTAATATCAAGTAGCATAAGCTGTTTTATACAGCTAAAAAAAAACTGGAAGCCTTGCACATTCAAGTTACAAATGGCCTTTCAATAAAAATAAAAATATATATACAGTGAGTGTTGCAGGTGCTTACTTTGAGAAGACACGGGACACCCCCTCCGAGTGGCAGTAGACTGTGTGAAAGAGCCAGGAGAAGGACAGGCAGAGAATGGCCCCCAGGAAGAATGCGCCGATGACAATCTTCTCCTGGAACGGTGCCACAAACGACATATTGGGCCTGAACATGTACACAATGCCCAGACAGACAAAGAACAGGCAGCCTGTAGACACAAGGGAAATACTGGTTACATGTATGTGTGTGTTAGAGTTCAATCTCAATACTCATATAAATGCTAATCATCATTTAGTCAGTTATACATAGGCCCTTGCTCTCTACAGGTCAATGCGATAAATCAATGAATGTACAAAGAGTAGAATCGAAATCAAACTGAACTCAAAGCACATCAGAAAGCTTAGCGGTTACTAGTAGATCAACATCAAACATCTGTTTTGTCCATTATGGCTCAGTCACTCCACGAGTCCAAAGGTGTAGATCAATAGCTGCACATTACGATCTCACCTCACGATCAATACCATTACCTAGACCCACAGTCTATTATGTTTAGCATGACCTTATACCTCTTATACCTTATAGCCTCTACATTTAATGTTATGTGAAGAATGACTATATTTCTCCACTAGGTGGCAGTACAGCATGCAGAAAATAAACGTTTACTGTTCTGATGTAGTTTTTGTTTCTATTTAATTTAAATCATTTTATTTCAATTTAATATTTATATTTGATTATATACATTTATATTTGTGTATTTCTATTTATTATATATTTATTTTTTATTATGATATTATAAATATATAAAATAAATATAAAATATTTAAATTTGATGTTAAATATAATTGTTTAAACGTGGGAGTAGTTTTTCTTATTTAATCGAAATGTAATTAATTATTTTTTTACTTAATATTTAATTTAAATATAAATATATAATTCAAATTTTAGAAGTAAAATAAATAAATACATGTTTTAACACGTTGTGAATGTTTTGTGTGTAAGTGTGTTTTACCTAAAAGATGTGTCCAAATGTTGCCTGTTTCTGTATGGATTCTGAAGATGCTCTTGAAACATGCTCTGAAGGAGGGCATGGGCGGCCGGTGCCCATGCAACAGGAAATCATTATCCTTCAGCCAATCGGGGAGGACATCATGTGGAATGACACGCCATCTGCCCTCCCACATCTAAGACACCAAATTAAAAGAATCACTGTAAGATCTCAAAAGCAACCCTGCAGTTTTGAAAAGATGACATATCTGGCCACTCTTTGACATATCATTACGCCAAGCTCAGGTCAGCATTACAAGCTGGCATGAGAAAAGCCCTCTCATTTGACTTCAGAAAGTAATTACACAGTCCGCTCGTGTATGTGAGAGGAGTTGAGAGCAAGAGATAAGTATTACAGTAATTATGAGTTAAGGCACAGGCAAAAATTACACATACAGTGAGCCAGAAATAATTCTAAGGCTCAAAACATGCTCTACAGAAGTATGTTAGCGCAAAGCTTGTGTATTATTGCATGTACAAGTATACACTGCATTTTCAGCACAGCAGCACAAGTCGACTAATGTCAAGGTCGAGCAAAAACCTGTGAATCCAGCAAAGCAAGTTGAAATTTATAGCAAGCCACCTGAATAAAAACAAGTGCAGTTTAATGGAATAATTGACCAAAAAATGAAAATTTGCTGAAAATGTACTCATCTGTTGAAACAGATTTGAAGAAATTTAGCATTACATTACTTGCTCACCAGATAATCCTCTGCAGTGAATGGCTTTACTTGTGTATTATTGTGATGTTTTTATCAGCTGTTTGGACTCTGATTCTGACAGCACCCATTCACGGCAGAAGATCCATCCATTGGTGAGCAAGTGATGTAATGCTACATTTCTCCAATTCTGTTCAATGAAAAAACTAACTCATCCTGGGTGGCCACCCTCAACTACTGAGTCTAGTTAGGGCCAAAGAACACATTGAGTACAACATTTTCATATGCACAATTGTGTTGACTGTTCCTTTCATAAGATTGAGAAGAAAAAAAAACTAATAATATATAACTGAATCTGGATTTTTTTTCTTGTGTGGTTTTCTTAAAACTAGGTTGCCTGGTTTCTCTACCAGCTGTGGTAACACTGCTGGGAAGAAGCTTTGCAGTTTCTTAGCAGCATTCTGCCAAATCATGCTGATGAAAACCACTCCCGTGCAATCATACCAGTCACAGGCGTGACCACAGGATTACACCTATAAGTACAGCACATGCAGTGACTACAGCCGAGGGCAAAGAGGCCATGAATGTGCCGTATCTGCTGAGAGAACAGCTCCTAGCTCTGTGTATCTGGGCGTACTTTTAAATAAATAAAACAAATGAAACTAGGTCAGGTTGTTTGATCGACTCCATGACGTGCCTTTCGGTCATCTGTCAGGATGTGCATTTTAAAATCTTCCTAGATGTGTTCCTTTCAAGATTCTGTACCTGAGTGCTGACATTGAATGGCACTGATTGGATCTTGCACTGTGTTTGCTCTTCGACACAGAGAGATTTGGCTTCTTCCCCAGAGGGGGAGAGAGGAGAGGAAGGAAAGAGCCATTAAAGCAGAAGGGGCTCAAAAAGCAAACTAAACTTGAGCTGGTTTATAGGGCTCAGCATTGCAGCGCATGTTACAAAGGACGGCTTTCAGTTCCTGTTCCTCTGCATATGGCAGACTCTCGATACAAGATTGAGATGAGAGGCTGCTGGAGCCAGGAGATGGGCGTCTGGTTTGGCAGGGATGTTTTCCATATTGGTGGACTGTGGCGTGTTCGTGTAAAAGCAGCTGTGAGCACTCGGCTCGGGTCAGGTGTGCTGACGTCATGCGTTTAATCTCACCGTATGACCTTCGACATATAAACTCAATGATAATGCACATCTGTGTTTACGGAGCTGTGAAACAAATGTGTGTGCGCGTGAGATGAACTTGAGAGTCTGACCTTGTGCACAAACTCCTCCATCCTCTCCATGGCATGGTGTGCCTGTAGCAGAAGGCCTTCATCAGAGCTCTTATCCTCTTCTTCCTCCTCGTCATCTTCCTCTTCTCTTTCTGTCGTTTCCTCCTCCTTTTCATGTACCACCCTCCTCGCAAAGAGACACTGAAAACAAACACAAATTCGTCAGGTTTCAGCATAATCTGGCACAGTGAATATATTATTTCTAACTTTCATCTATGCATTTTTTGTTTGTAAAATCTATTTATATCTAATCGTGTGTTTGCATATTTTAGAGAGAGCGATAGATCGATATAGTTTGTTAAATATTATATATAAAAGAGTAAGAATTTTGTATGTAGAATATAATATATAAAAAATTATATATATAGAGAGGGAGATTGTAAAATTATATAATATACAAAAAATATTTTTATTAGTATTATAAATACAATGAAATAAGTTTGTTTTATATTTATTATTTGTTACATTTTATAAAAAGGTAAAGATGCATCTCTATAAATATTGCAAAAAAAGAAAAGAAAAGAAATTTAGGTAAACTCAATGGACGACTAGTCAACCATCCTGACCCAAACACCCAGTCAACTGGGACATCACAAACTCCCAGCCCATATAAAAGGTCATTCAAGTACTCTCTCTAATACACACACTCAAACACACACACACTCAATTTAATTAATACTGCATTGATTGGTATGACCTTGCTTATGGCATGTTCTCAGCGCTTTGTGTGTTGGAAGCAAAACCCTGCTGACTCGCTCCAATTTATCTCTTTGCGCACAGCGTGTGCTATACCAACAATCAGCGCTGTGTGTGGGGGGGCATAAAGATCGTCCCCAAGAGGCTTATATATGCTCATCTATCAAATATATAATATTGAACACACTAGGGTGTGTGTGCAAACATCACTAACACAAACTATTAACAGTATCAGGGTGAACTCTCTCTCTCAGGTACTGCCACTGCTCAGATATATAAACACACACAGAGGCTTTCCCAAAGCAGCCTGCATTGAATAAATATCAAGTCGGCTTTGCCTTATTGCAAATCTGTGGCAAACTGCTGGACAAACAGATAAGACAGAAGGAGAAAGGTTTGTAGAGGGTGAAAGTGTGAGGTGTTGTTTAGTAGTACAGGTTAACAAGCCTCTCTTAAGCAGATCAGACTTGGCCAGTGGGACAATCAGTGTCTCAGTAATCAGTGTTGACATGGCATTAGCGTGGTACTAATTCCCTAGCAGCTTTGAGAATACATAGCCCCCTCCTCTTTCTTCAGGCTGATACTGAGAAACACACACACAGCTGGAGGTTGTCCTCAACAGAATAAGGTATGACTGGAGCAGAGGCACGAATGTAGGTGACCTTGAAGGCCCTGAGCTGGAGCGTCAGCGTCACTTCCAGTGGACAGCCAGCAGAGGTCCTACTGCAGTATGTTCAGTGCCATTCTGACAGTGTAACCACACACAGACAACAGAAGACAAGATTCAACAGCGAACGCATCTGAACCACATTTCTTTTACTCTGTAATTAGGTGCAGTCAGTCAATAAAATCAGAAACAGACGCTTGCGTTTTTGCACCTACTTTTTGCTTCAGCCCGGCAGCGCTTTAAGGCAGGTCCATAAATAGACACACTTCAGTGGTTTCTAAACTTATTCAGCCTTGAGTTTAGCTATTCAACATCACCAGATTAGCAGAATGACGAACTACATTTTTGCATCAAATAAGGCAATTCTTCACACAGGCCTTGTAAAATGGATGAATGGATTAAATGTGACATTTACCAATTAAAATAATAATATATACACACAATAAAACTTAAGACAGTAACAAAAAAGTAGAAAAATATATTAATAACATTAATATTTGTAACACTAATATATTGTTAATTTTATATATCAAAATTATACACATTTTTTATATATTTAAATACAATATTTAATAATATTATTATTATTAATAATAATAATAATAATAATAACATTGTTTTTTAATTAAAAAAAATCATTATACAATTATCAGAATCATTTTAATTACAAAAATTGATTAAATATTCCCTTTTCACTTGTGGTATAAAATAGGTTTAGTCTAATTTAATTTAAATTTAAATAGTCTAATAAAAACCTATTTAAAATAGGTTTAGTCTAAAAAATAAATAAATAGCAATTGTTATTGTTAAAATTAATTGACTACTTTAATGGCGCTACTTTAATTCATGGTGCCAGAGAGGACACCATTAGACTTTGGGCTATGTATACATGTATATTCTTTGTATATTTTGGAGTATATTAGGTTTTAAATATTGTTTTGAATATTTCTGTCATTCACTCTTCAGTTTAACTGATTAGTTTTAACCATTTATATCTATCCATCTATCTATCTATCTATCTATCTACATTTCATTTATCATGCGTTTTTATTATTAATATTATTATTTTTACTTACTGTTGCAAAGTTGATTGTTTGTCTGTGCTATTCTGTATATTAAACAATGTCAAAACAACAATAATAATTTGATATAAAAAAATTAATTGACTACAAATTCACTATTAAAGAGATGAGAACATCACTATAATATACTATAGTATAAATCTATGCCAGGCAGATCATAAAATCAGGCAAAAATCAGAAGTCCAATCATTTAAATTAAGTTTAATCCTTAGAATTATGGGTTTAGAAAACAATGTCTGGACATCAGTAAATATTACAACTCAAATACAGGTGTAGTTGAAGGGTTAAAGGTCATTATGTTCCTGACAATGTCCTGAGTGTGAATGAGATGAACCAGGTATTGTGCAATTCAGTGAAATAGACTCCCGAGAGTCCTAAATATATTTTCACCTGACAAACTATCCATCTAACAAGCAAAATCTGGGACACTTCCACGAACAAGTAAACCTGTGAACAGAGAGGTCACGGTAAAAGGCAGACAGTGTGTCTATCTTGTCAACAAGAGGAGCCGTGCAGGACCAGAACTGGATCTATAATGCATGAATAACCTACTTCTGATGCCTGCCAACAAGACAACACACTGTAAGGCTGACTGTGTTCGGTTCACTCTCATTACAAGAGTATGTGTGCATATTAAATGTGTGGTGTCTGCCAGTTTCACCCTAATTCTGAGATATTCAAGGGTGCTATCCATAGCTCTGACAAATGTATCACACTTGCTACTTTATGCCTAAAAAGGGCTCCATATAGTGCTCTCACTGGGCTTAAAAGGCCTATAAAGAAGCCAATGAAACAAACGAATCTTGCACACACTTCTAAAGCAAGCATTTAAGTGTGTGTGTTTGTAAGCAGACTCAAACTGCTGTTGTGAGCACATGCTGTAGTTCATTTTCCAGTTTAAGAATGTTCGGGAGAACAGGGTGTGAAATGACATGAACTCCTTAGCAATGGTTGTCATCTTAGGTCACCAAAGGAATACTCAAACACACCCTAAAAACAATCCCAAACAAGACATTGATGTGCACACCTCACAAAGGCATGCGTGAACATAGTAATACAACAGGTCTCTCACTCTCTTCGACCTGTAATGAAAAAAATGGCACCTCTTCACATCAGATAAAATGTGTCATCATGAGAAATGCAACCACAATTTTAGACGTGGTTTTGTAACTTTTGCAGCTTTCAAAATCAATACTTTCCAAGATAAAGGTATGCACTTTAAAACTGTATATAAACTGGTCAACCAGAACAAATTTAACTTTAAAAATGATTTAAATTTAAATTATAAAACATATAAAATTATAATGCTAAAATATATTATAATTATACATTTATTAACATAAATAAACAAGTAATTTTCTTCTGCTTTTTTTGTGTGCATCCAGGATCTAAATAAATAAAAATCCACTGGATTATTCAAAAATAGGCATTACCACATGGTTATTTAATATAAAACTTATTTTTCTACTGAATTTCCAATAAAAATCTATATTATGATATATATTGTTACTGTGATGACTCATGCTGTAATGTAAGATTTTGGTCACATCACACCGCCCTTAATCCCAGAGTAATTGAGACGTGCAGTGTTATGCTCACTGCGTGCACTGATTGGTTGAATGTAATGACCCTCTCTAGAGATCATCAAGAACAATAATCACTTTCCTGCCAGAGAGAGAAGAAAAAAAAACAGTTTGCTTGTTTGCCGGGGACACAGCTGGGACAACTCGTATAGATCTGTGTAAAGGAAAAAGGGAGAGTAAATACAGAAAAAGCACTGGCTCTACACCTCATAAAAACAACCATGTAGGTTTATTACAGAGCCTAATAGGAAAAGTAAAAAAAAAAAATCTAACACTTCAATGTAACATTGCACTCCAGTGCACTTGAACTCTTCGGTATGTTCACCTGAGCCTAAACGACATGCAGACTGTCTGATTTGCTGGGTTTAGCATAGGGCTGGACGATATGGCCAAAATTGATATCACGATATATTTCTTAATTTCGGTCGATACGATATAATTCCGATATCGATATGAACACTATTTATCTGAAATAGAAATCTTTTGTAACATTATAAATGCCTTTATCATCACTTTTGATCAATTTTAAGCATCCTTGCTAAATAAAAGTATAATTTCTATAATTTCTTTCCC